GAACTTTGTCCTGGTTCAGGTAGTTTTTCTTAATACAGGCTCAGTGGGTTTATCTTAAGATTTAAAATGTCTGTTTACAGATTTAATTAAATGTTTTTCCTATTTAGTTCTGAGGGTCCAAATTACTTATTTACAACATTTGAATTCCACAACAAGAAAATCATTGGTGTAAAATGTCTGAAAGGATTTTCCTTTAGATTTAAACAGTAGTGTCTTCACATTTATGCATCTTTTTGATGGTTTTGTGTTTTTATCGTGTCTTTTTTGCTATTTCTTGTCATATGAGCTTCTTTTTAAAAACTCTGTGTTTTTGTGGTCACTTTGTGTGTTTGTTTGTGATAATTTTAGTCATCTTTGTGATGGTTTTGTGTCTTTATTGTGTATTCTTTTTGCTATTTCTTGTCAGATGAGCTTCTTTTTAGAAACTTTGTTCCAGATCTCTGATCAGTTTAATAACCAGACTCTGTCCTGGTTCAGGTAGTTTTTATTCATAGAGACTCAGTGGGTTTATCTTTAGATTTAAGATGTTTGCGCATAGATTTAATTAGATGTTTTTCGTGTTTGGTTCAGAGGTTCCAAATGATTTATTTACAACATTTGAATTCCACACTAAGAAAATCATTGGTGTAAAATGTCTGAAAGCATTTTCCTTTAGATTTAAAACAGTAGTGTCTTCACGTTTATGCATCTTTTTTATGGTTTTGTGAATTTATTTAGTCTTTTTTGCTATTTTTGTGTCAGATGAGCTTCTTTTTAGAAACTATGTTCCAGATCTCTGATCAGTTTAAGAACCAGACTCTGTCCTGGTTCACGTAGTTTTCCTTCATAAAGGCTCAGTGGGTTTATCTTTACATTTAAAATGTCTGTTTACAGATTTAATTAAATTTGGTTCTGAGGGTCCAAATGACTTATTTACAACATCTGAATTCCACTATAAGAACCTGATTGGTGGAAAACGTCTGAAACCGTTTTCCTTTAGATTTAAACAGTAGTGTCTTCAATTTTATGCATCTTTTTGATGGTTTTGTGTCTTTATTGTGTTTTTTTTGCTATTTCTTGTCAAATGAGCTGTTTTTAGAAACTTTGTTCCAGGTCTCTGATCAGTTTCAGAACCAGACTCTGTCCTGGTTCAGGTGGTTTTTCTTCATAGAGGCTCAGTGGGTTTATCTTTAGATTTAAAATGTCTGTTTACAGGTTTAATTCATTTGGTTCTGAGGGTCCAAACGACTTATTTACAACATCTGAATTCCACAATAAGAACCTGATTGGTGGAAAATGTCTGAAACCGTTTTCCTTTAGATTTAAACAGTAGTGTCTTTGATTTTATGCATCTTGGTGATGGTTTTGTGTCTTTATTGTGTTTTTAAAAAACAATTTCTCGGCAGATGAGCGTCTTTTTATAAACTTTGTTCCAGGTTCTGAGGGTCAAAATGGCTTATTTACAACGTTTTACTCCTACAATTAGAACCTGAATGATCTAAAATGTCTAAAAGCGTTTTCCTTTAGATTTCAAACACTAGTGTCTGATAGTCTGCTATGAGGCCCAGAGGTCAAAGGTCACAGA